AAGTAAAAATAAGTAGAAATAAGTGTAAAATAAGTAGAAATAAGTAAAAATAAGTGAAAATAATTAAAAATAAGTTCCATGCATATAACAACATAAGTTCCCTATAAGTAGCTAAGTAACTTATAAGTATCTTAAGTCCAGACCTCGTACTTGCTGAACTTATAAGTTCCAAGGTGAACTTAAAGGCTGATAAGTAGATGTTATGGAACTTGTAGTGGCACTTGTACTAACTTAATTTTGCTAACCTGGACTCAAGTACCACCTACTCACCAAGTAGGCACGTTAGAGTTGGAAGAGTTTTGCGAAGGGGGCACCCTAGCGTACGTGCAGAACTTTGAGAGCTTCCTCCTCCCGCCTCAGGACCAGCATTTGGGAAAGACGCCAAGCATTATGGTGGAGGCCTGCCACTGGGCTGAGGTTTGTTCAGGGCTCGTTCGACGGGGGGTGTGTCGCCTCATGCATCGCAGTGAACTTCACCACATAGGGGGACGACCTCTACTGAACGGGCTGTTTGCGGTTAGCAAGCAGGAGCAGGCAACAGACACCCAGGGGAACACTTTTGAGGTCTGTCGTTTGATCATGAATCTGGTGCCAACGAATGGGTGCTGCAGAAGCTTGATAGGAGACACTTCAACTCTACCAAGTGTTGTGGGCATGTCTTCCATCGTTCTTGAGGATAGCCAACTCCTAGTGACATCGTCAGAGGATATACGATGTTTCTTCTACTTGTTCCGGACGCCGTCCAGCTGGTGGAAGTACATGGGGTTTGGACGGGAGGTACCCAGGGAGGCCCTCCCAGTAGGTTTCTCTGGAACAGGGTGGCATCTGGTGACCCAGGTGTTGCCCATGGGGTTCATCAATTCGGTGGCCATTGCACCGGAGGGTGATTAATCAAGCTTTGAAAGGCGAGGCTAGGTTGGCATCCGGGCATCAGGAGATTCGGCGTGACCGGCCCGCTAGCAGTGCGCCGCACCTTTTTCGGGTATATTTGGACAACTATGATGAGCTAAAGAAGGTGGACAGGACACTGGCAGACATGTTGGCAGGAACCCCATCGGCCTGGACCTTAGCAGTAAGGCAAACCTATGAGACGTTGGGACTCCCGAGACATCCAAAAAAGGCCGTGACCCAGGCAGTGAAGGCAGAGGTACAAGGTGCTTGGGTAGATGGGGAGCTTGGCAAAGCAGGGCCCAAGCCCGAAAAGGTGATGAGGTATGTGAAGTTGGCGTGCGAAGCAGTGATCCAGGGCAGAGCGTCGCAAAGGGCTGAATGCGATCTGGAGGCGTGTTGTTGAGTTGGGTGAGTTGCGGCCAACCCAGCGTGCCCCCTTGGGAGCTGAAGTGGAGCATGAGCTGTTGCGTTTTGTTGCATTGACCCCTTTGGCCTTCATGGACTTCCGGACGCCCATTTCTGAACACGTGACAGCAAGTGATGCGTCCACCACGGGGGGTGGCTTGTGCGTGTCCAGAAACCTGAGTCCCTATGGTGTTGCGGCCAGCATGGCCAGTTGCAGGGGAGATGTGATCTCCCAGGATGAGGTCAACCCCATCTTGGTTGTGTCGCTATTTGATGGCATTGGAGCGTTGCGTGTAGCAGTTGACTCACTTCAGGTGCCTGTGGCCGGTTATGTGTCCGCTGAGATCTCCCCAGAAGCTAGGAGAGTGGTGGAGAGTTGGTTCCCGGAGGTGATCGCTGTCCCAGACGTACAGAGCATTGATGAAAACGAAGTCAGTAGTTGGTGCTTGCGCTTCCCAGGGGTGTGCGCCGTGCTCTTAGGCGCCGGGCCACCATGTCAAGGCGTTTCAGGACTAAACGCTGATCGCCGTGGTGCGTTGCGCGACGTGAGGTCTTGCTTGTTTTCCCATGTCCCTAGAGTGGAAGGCCTCCTGAAGCGCTTTTTCACATGGTGTCCGACTTACACCCTTGTTGAGAACGTCGCGTCCATGGATGCCGCAGACTGTCGCGTTATGTCACAGGCGTACGGCTTGACGCCATGGTTGGTGGATGCTTGCGGAGTGTCAATGTGTCGGAGGCCACGCCTTTACTGGTTCAACTGGGAGCCCAGAGAACTAAAGGGGGCCACCGCAGTCTGTGGGGGCACCCATCAGCTCCCGTTGGCCGGCGTGTACGAGTTGAAGGCCTCTGTTGATGAGCGTGACTTCCTTGAGCCAGGGTGGAAACGTACATCCCCTAGCAGTTTACCAACCTTTACCACGTCAAGGCCTTCACCCACGCCCGGACGCAAGCCAGCAGGTCTCGCACTCTGCCCCCCCGAGGCTGTCGCCAGGTGGCGTGCTGACCAACACAGATTCCCGCCATACCAATACCGGTGGGAGAACTCCCTCATGAACTCCAAAGATGAAGTGCGTGTTCCATCTGTCGCGGAAAGGGAGGCAATCCTAGGATTCCCCTCTCAGTATACAGCCAAGTGCCTGCCCAAATCTGAGACAGGAACCACCCATTGCAACGACATTAGACTCAGTCTCTTGGGCAACAGTTGGTCGGTGCCGGTTGTCGCGTGCTTGCTACATTGTTTGTTTGCTACTTTGGGGTTGAATGAGGTGAAAAGTGTTCAAGAACTGGTCGACCAGCTCACGCCAGGAAAATGTGCAAACATGGCGGGGTTGTTGATGCGGCCGCCAATGCGGCATACGACTCAACAGGGCCAGGAATCTCAGGGACTCGTTAAAAAGCTGTTGGGGCAGGTCTCTGTCAAAGGTGAAGACATATTACTACAGCTGAGTACTGATATTCCTGCCCGCTACCATCGGTTGCGTGCCTCTATCCCTGGCAAGTTGTGGCGATGGCGTGACGTTGTTGGTTGGCGCTGGACCGGAGAAACCGAGCATATCAATTCCCTTGAGCTTCGGGCAGTGAAAACTGCCTTAGTGTGGCGAATCAAAGAACTTCAAGAGTTTGGGGCCAAGTGCTTGCACCTTGTTGATTCACTTGTTGTTCTCCACGCTCTCTCACGTGGCCGATCGAGCAGTAGGAAACTCAGAAGGACTCTTGCAAAGATCAGTGCGCTGTTGTTGGCTAGCGGGCTCCATGTAGCCTGGGGCTACATTGATACAAAGCAAAACCCGGCGGATAAACCATCCCGCCGGCCCGTTCGCAAAGGATGGCTAAAAGCGCGAAGAAGATAGTTGAAGGCCGCAGCAAACAACAGCGCCAGAAAGTTCGCAAGAGTCTCGGAAAGTTGAAAGATCTTACTGTTCAGCCGCGTACTCGTCAAAGATATGCTCAATCTCTACATTTGTTCTTGGACTGGTTGACAAGGGAGGGGCTCAGCCTGCCCACAAAGGCCTCCCAGATGGACCACCTTGTCTCTGACTACCTCGAATTTCTGTGGGCCACAGGCGAAGGGAAATCAGTTGCCAATAATGCCCTGGCGGCGTTGCAGGACTACGACCCAAACCTCAAAAAGAAGCTTCCAGGAAGCTGGCGCCTGATGAAGGCATGGAACACTGCTGAAATCCCGAATAGAGCTCCACCGCTTACGCTGACCTTGCTGAACGCGCTCTGCGGTTGGAGCGTGCTCCAAGACTGCCCTGAGTTTGGTCTGTCGCTGCGGGTTGGCTTTTTTGGACTGTTGCGTACAGGTGAACTTTTAAGCGTGCGGGCTAGGGATGTGTACCTCACTACCTCCAAAGGTCCAGCTGTGATCTCCCTTGGGCTCACGAAGTCTGGGGCACGTCAAGGAGCCGCGGAAAGTGTCACCATACATGACTCCTCCGTACTGCAAGGACTCTACAGGTGGAAGATGCAGGCCAGACCACACGAATTCCTCACTGTAAAGCCTCATGCTTGGCGGCGACTGTTTAATCGCGCCCTTGAGGGACTGAAGCTCCAGCAGTATGCCTACCGCCCTTACTCCCTACGGAGGGGTGGGGCCACTTTTTTCTTCCAACACCACGGTAGTTTTGACCGCCTTCTCGTCCAAGGACGTTGGGGAGCCGCGAAAACCGCTAGAATATACCTTAACGACGGGCTCGCCCAGTTATCAGAGATTTCTGTCCCTAATTCGCAGTTGCGGTCTTACCTTTCTCTGTACCAAAAGCACCCAATCCTTGAGCCTGGGCCCCGGAAGGCGCCCAGGTCAGGGGGACGTGGAGGAAAACCCGGAAAACCGTCTCTTTTTTCTGTCGTTCGAAGGGTATTCAGGAGAG